TCGGGCCCATAGGGAGCTCCACCGAAGGCCCCAGTGGCAGCGCCTGCATGCAGTTCCACCTCCATTTCGGCACACCCCTCACACGCTTCGTGGCCTTTTAGGGAGCACCACCGAAAGCCCCAGTGGCAGCGCCCGCATGCAATTCCACCCCCCTTTCGGTGTACCCCCTCACACGCATCGTGGCCCCATAGGGAGCTCCACCGAAGGCCCCAGTGGCAGCGCCCGCATGCAATTCCACCCCCATTTCGGCACATCCCTCACACGCATCGTGGCCCCATAGGGAGCTCCACCGAAGGCCCCAGTGGCAGCGCCCGCATGCAATTCCACCCCCATTTCGGCACATCTCTCACACGCTTCGTGGCCCCATATGGGAGCTCCACCGAGGGCCCCACTGGCAGCACCCGCATGCGGTTCCACCCTCACGCTTCGTGGCCTCATAGGGATCTTCACCAAAGGCCCCAGTGGCAGCGCCCGCATGCATTTCGAACCTCCATTTCGGGACACACCTCACACTCTTCATGACCCCGTATAGGGAGCTCCACCGAAGGCCTCAGTGGCAGCGCCCGCATGGGGTTTCATTTATTTCGGCGACACTCTCACACGTTCCGTGGCCGGATGGTACTACGCCACAGGGAGCTCCACCTAAGGCTCCGGGGGCGCAGTCATGCGGTCCGACCCGCCATTTCGGCACACCTTTCATATGTTTCGTGGCCACATAGGGAACTCCACCGAATGCCCCAGTTGCCCTTGTTGCTGGCCCCCCTCCTTCATTCATTCCCCCCCGCGATGCTCGAAGGCCCCAGTGGCAGCGCCCGCATGGTATCCCCGCCAGACTTCGGCACACCGTTTGCTCGCTTCGTGGCACCATGAGGAGATCCCTTGACGACGATACTCACAACGACGGTACTCACAACTGGATACGGTTGGGCCCTTCGCCAGGTTAATTCCCAAACCATCATGTGGTGTTAGGCCCTCGTTTTGAAGAGAGTGCCCCGCGTTCCTATCCTCTTCTTCCCCCTCCTCCTCCCATCCCATCGCTGCACTTACTCTCCACATGCCACTGTGTCAGCACACCCCTCACACGCTTCGTGGCCACATAGGGAGATCCACCGAACGCCCCAGTGGTAGCGCCCGCATGCGGTTCCATCCCCATGTGGTTTCACCCGATTTTGGCTAACCCCTCACACGTTTCGTGGCCCCATAGGGACTTCCACTGAAGGCCCCAGCGGCAGCGCCCGCACGCAGTTCCACCCTCCATGTCGACACACCCCACACACGTTTCGTGGCCCCAAAGGGAGCTCCACCGAAGGACCCAGTGGCAGCGCCTGCATGCATGCAATTTCACCTTCATGGCACATCCCTCACACGCACCGTGGCCTCATAGGGAGGACCACCGACAGCCCCAGTGGCAGCGCCTGCATGCAATTCCACCCCCCTTTCGGTGTACCCCCTCACACGCATCGTGGCCCCATAGGGAGCTCCACCGAAGGCCCCAGTGGCAGCGCCTGCATGCAATTCCACCCCGATTTCGATACACCCTTCACACGTTTCGTGGCCCAACAGGGAGATCCACCGAAGGTCCCAGTGGCAGCGCCCGCATGCAGTTCCACCCCAATTTTGGCACACACCTCACACGTTCCGTGGCCCTATAGAGCTCCACCGAGGGCCCCATTGGCAGCGCCCACACGCTCCGTGGCCTCATAGGGAGCTCCACCGAAGGTCGCAGTGGCAGCGCCCGCATGCAGTGCCACCCTCCATTTCGGTGCATCCCTCACACGCTTCTTGACTCCATAGGGAGCTCCTCCGAAGGCCCCAGAGGCAGCGCCCGCGTAGGGTTCCACCCCCCACTTCGGCGACCCTCTCAAACGTTCCATGGCCCGATCGTACTACGCCACAGGGAGCTCCACCTAAGGCTCTGGGGGCGCAGGCATGCGGTCCCACCCGCCATTTCGGCGCACCCGCACGCAGTTCCACCCTCCATGTCGACACACCCCTTACACGTTTCGTGGCCCCATAGGGAGCTCCACCGAAGGCCTCAGTGGCAGCGCCCGCATGCGGTTCCACCATGCATTTTGGTGAAACCCACCCGCGCTTTTTGGCCCTACCACCGAAGGCCCCGGTGGCAGCGCCCGCATGCGGTTCCACTCCCATGTCGGTGCTCCCCTCACACATTTCGTGGCCCCATAGGGAGCTCCACCGAGGGCCCCAGTGGCAGCGCCCTCATACGGTTCCACCCCCAAGTCGGTGCACCCCTCACACGTTTCGTGGTCCAACATGGAGATCCACCGAAGGCCCCAGTGGCAGCGCCCGCATGCAGTTCCACCTTCAATTTCAGCACACCCCTCACACGCTTCGTGGCCCCATACGGGGCTCCACCGAAGGCCCCAGTGGCAGCGCCCGCACGCAGTTCCATCCTCCATGTCGACACACCGCTCACACGTTCCGTGGCAGGGAGCTCCACCGAAGGACCCCGTGGCAACGCCGGCATGCGGTTCTACCCTGCATTTCGGCGAACCCTTCACGCGCTCCGTGGCCCCATAGGGAGCTCCATCGAAGGCCCCAGCGGCAGCGTGCCGGTGCATCCCTCACGCTGTTCGTGGCCCAATCCCTCGCACGTGTCGTGGCCCCAGAGGGAGCTCCACCGAATGCCCCGGTAGCAGCGCCCGCATGCGGTTCCACCCCCCACTTCGGCGAACCTCTCACATGTTTCGAGGCCCTATAGGGCGCTCCACCGAAAGCCCCAGTGGCCACTGTTGCTGGTCCCCATCCTTTCTTTCATTTCCCTCGCGCGCAGCGCCCGCATGGCGGCCCTGCCACATTTCGACACGTCCTTCACGCGCGCTTCGTGGCCCCAGAAGGAGATCCTCTGAAGACGATGCTCACAAAGACGGTATTCACAAGTGCAAATGGCTGGGGCTCAAGCTTTGAATGATTCGAGCCTCTTGGAGGTCTCCGCGGGAGGCTCCGCTCTCACTTGGAGCCGCCCAGGCCAGATTGAGCTTAGTTTCCCTCATACGCCCGCGCTGACACGCAACACGTACCGTGTTGAACACGCTGCGTTTTGAGTTGGCACGTGTTGACTTACGTTTTGGCGATCGTGTCGCGCCAGACCCACGTGTTCAATCTACGTGTTGAGCCTCGTGTCGACACGCCCCAGGTTGCGAGTTGTGCGTCGGGGCAACTCTGGAGGCCATCATCGGCATGGGGAGACCCTCCCACGCCTCGCGGAACCCTGGCCCCAACCCCAGGGCAGCAGCTCCCCCCCCGGCATGGGTGGCGGGCCCGCCCAGTCCCCATCACGGCCCGAGGGCGCCGCCGAGACGGTCTGTAGGTCCCCGGGTGCGGCGGGACCGCCGTGCCGCAGATCCCACCACCTCCTCCTCCTCCTCCTCCTCCTCCTCCCTCCTCCTCCTCCCTCTCCTCCTCCTCCTCCCTCCTCCTCCTCCTCCCTCCTCCTCCTCCTCCTCCTCCTCCTCCTCGTGCACCTCCTCCTCGTGCACCTCCTCCTCCTCCTCCTCCTCCTCCTCCTCCTCCTCCTCCTCCTCCTCCTCCTCCTCCTCCTCTTGGCCGTTCTGGCCCAGGCTTGGGGCTTGCAGGAGCGGTCTTCAGAATGGCAGTCGCTCCTGCGGGTCTTCGTGGCCCGGAAAATGATAGATTATCTTCCGCTCCCAGCACGGGAGCCCCTCGTCCATGTCTGATGGAGGTGCCGTGGTCCTGCCTGGGCCCAGGGCGCCTGTTTGGTCTTGCAGCAGCTGTGGGCTCAACACAAATTGGGCTTCGCGGCTGATGTGCAGATGCGGTGAACCAGCGCCAGCTAAAGTTCGCCAAAACCGCTCGGGGAAAAGCTCCGCATGCTCCTCGTGGTCCTCATGGTGGTCAGCGCCAGCCTGTTGGTGGTAAAGGCGGGCAGCGTAATGGAGGCAATGTGGCAGTGGCATCTCTCACGAGGCAGATGCGAGAGCTTCAGATCAAGTGCGACAAGCTGGCAGGCAACAGTGGTAACGGCTGTGCTCCCAACGGTGGTACTCGCGGCCAAGGTGATACACACAGAAAAGGTGAATTTGCAGTTGATGCTCAAGTCTTACGGGAAACTGTTCAACATCTGGAGCAAACCCGTCTCGCAGTGGCCAAGGTCCCAGGCAGTGATGAAGCACGGAATGCTCTGGATGCTCAGTTACAAGAGGCTCGAAAACAACTTCACAGCCTCGAGCCTGAGCTCACTGTGCACACGAACGTGGGTCATCGTCTTCAGCGCGCCGAGCTCAAGTGTGAGAAGTTGGCTTAGCAGGCGGCTGAACAGCAGGAGATCTCACGGTGTGCCCAAGAAAAGCTCGACGGCATCGAGGCCATGCAGGTCGCGGCCCAGAAGGGGCGGGGCAGCTTCGCAAGGAGCTGGTCGACGCACTTCCGTCCACGGTTGCTGCGCCCCCTCTTCAGTTGGACACGGCAGACGATTTGGCAGAAGGTTCTGAAGAACAAGCCAAGCTCACTGCCCTGTTCGGCTCCGGTGGGTTCAAGATGTACCAAGCGGCGATGGCCAGGAAAGCTCAGAAGGCAGTTCCTGTGGCCAGCCCATTTTCTCCCGATGGTAACGGTCAACCCTTCGTCAACCCCGTCGGCGCCATGGCCCTCGGCAAGGGCAAGGGCAAGGAGGTGTCTGCTGGCTTCCAACCGCACGGAGCTGGCGGCGCAGGCGCTCGACGCCAGGCCGTCGGTGGAGGCGAAGGCGCTGATGATGAGATCATGCACGACCCGATCACTCTCAGCGATGAGGGGATGGAGCAGATCTTCTTCGCGGCGCAGAGGTCCGACAAGCGGGCCTGGAGTGGGCAGCTCGCGGCCTTGCTTGCCGAGCGTCAGCGGAAGGGGTAACCCACCTTTGCTGCCGAGAGGCTGCGGCCTGCGCATGTCTCGCTACGGCGCTGTTCAGCCTCCCCCCGCCCCTACCCCTCTCGACCCCGACCGCGTGGGCTTGCTCGGCAACGGAGAAGTGGTTGAAACCTACAACGGCAACTCTTGGGGAACCCTGAGAGACAGGCTGGCCGTTTCGTCGGCGCTCATCTTCCTTGCTCAGGAGGTGGGTTTCTTCGAGGACCTCCCGGGGGAGAAATGTGATTATGTTGCCAAGCTCGGATGGAAGATGTTAGCTTCTCTCTCGTGTGTGGGGGCCTCGGGCAGGCCCAAGTGGGGAGTTGCGGTCCTGGTCCGTTCCCACCTTGGCCTGAGGTGGCCCAGCGACGGAGGAGTCCTGGCCCCCGCCCGAGTGATCAATATGTTGATCGATATTCCTGAATGGCCCGAGCTCGCGGTTGCGCGCGCGTACCTCAAGTCAGGAACGGGCCTGTGCGATCGGATCGTGTCCTATCTGAAGGCCATCGGCCATTCTCTGGATACAAATCACATGTTTGCTCGCGGGGGTGATTGGAACCTCTCCCCCGCCCTGGTGGAAACGACGGGTCTCGTTCGAAGGTTGGATTCCTTGTTTGTTTTTTTCATGCCCCCGTCCAGGACTTGCGTCAGCGCCCAAGCGCCATCCACGATGGAATTCTCCATGTGCAGTGCTTCGTTCTCTCGAGCGGGCGAGAGCATCAGTTGCGATTTGCAGCGGAGAGGGCGCCCTGACCAACCTGCGCTGCTTAGGTTGAAGGAGCAAGCGGTCCGATTGTATCAACTCGCGCACGGTAGCCATCAGCGTCTTTCTGCTGCATTGCCCTATGGCCCTACCCCTAGACCTCAGGACTGGACCCTTGCTCGAGACATAGCCGAATGCGCGGCCCAGGCCGCGATCGATAAGCCAGCTGCTTTCGCTTGGGAGCTCCTTAGCAAGGCGTGGCGCATCTTCTCCAATCGTCAGGAACTGGAGTTGGAGTCATTCCAGGGCGTCGCCGCGAAGCATGAAGGTTTGAAAGATTTGGTGCCTAAGGTCACGTGGGCCCTTATTTTTGCTGCCCCCAAGAGTGCTTGCACCGAGCTGATCAGCGAGGGGTGGGTCTGGTTGGCCCAACATGTTTCGGAAACTGTCGGGGCGGCTTCGCGCCTTTCCGATGCTGACCGGTCAACGCCTCTTGCCAAGGGCGTTGCTCTTGCGCGGGATGCGCAGCAGCTTGTTGAGCAGATTTTGTCGCAGCCGTGTCCTGGCGAAGGAATGGCTGCTCGTCTGGGCGCCACCATCGCTGGCGCCAAGACCCCGACGCGCCGGCGGCCTCCGTCCTCGCTCGAGGACCGGGTGCAAGAGGCGCGCGACTTCTTGGACTCGCGGGGGGGGCGGCCGCGTCAGTGCCGACCGGGGCCTCTGGAAGGCCAAGCAGGACAGTTGGGGCGAATGGCAGGAGAAAGCGTTACAAGGGGGAGCTCGGGCCATGCATTGCCTCGCGAAACTCAGCAGAAGTGGGGCCCCGCGGTCGCCCAGGTCCACCTAGGTACTTGTAGTAGTGATCCCCAGAAGCTCTTGAGGGCCGGGGGCGAAGCGCCCGCCAGTTTCTGGCGTGCCTCTGCCAAGCCAGCGCTAGTCGAAGTGCCTGACCGGGGCCGCCCCCCCCGTGCCTCGGCCGCCGACATTAGGGGCGCCAGTGCGTTCTTTTTGGCCAGCACGAGCCAATCGTTAGACGGACCCTGCTCCGAACAAGTGTCGCTGGTGTCGGACGCGGCAGGCCGTGGAAAGTGTCGGACTTTTTTTCGGGCAAGTGTTCTGGGTGCTCCCCCCCCCTCTTCGAGAAACCGAAGGGGGGTATCCGACCCATCCTTTTGCGCGCGGGGCCCGTCAGGGTGTGGGAGCGTTTAAGAAGACCCCTCCTGTTGAGGTTCAACGAAGATAATCCTCATTGGTTCTGGGCATGCGGACCTGGACGCAGTGCTGAAGATGCGGTGTGGCACCAGGCTGCTTGAGCTGAAGTCTCGGCTCACACAGGACGCGTCGCTGCTGGAGTTATCTGGGACGGAACCAAGTATTATGCAAGTCTTGATTTGGAACTCCTAGGGCCCGCGCCCTGGCCCATGGATTCAACCTTGCTATCGTGAAAACTACTCACAACTTTCGGAGGTGTCCCAGGTTGCTTCGTCTAGGTGCGCAGTTTTCTGCTACGCTATCTTTTGCGCTGTCTGGACTGCCAGCGGGTGGCATCTTCAACGATTAGTACGTGAGGGTTTACAGTATCGAAGCTTTCGATCAGTTCACTCGTGATCACCCGCTGGTGCAACTCAGTTCTCATGTAGATCACGACTCACTCACGACAGAAGGTGTCAGTGAGGTCGAGGTTCTTGATCGGATGTCCAAAGCTGCAGCGGTCATGTTCATAGTGTTTCGAGATTACCTGCACGTGCAGATGCAGGCTGACAAGCTCGCGACGTTCGCCAGCTCGCTGTCCCTCGCGCGCAGACTCGGCTTCTCAGAGTTCTGGCTGGCACCGTCACCAACAGCGCAGTGGTGCTCGGCACGGATCTCGCTGTGGGCCAAAATCGTTCGGCTAAACACGCTTCGTGGAAACGAAAACGGAAGTTTTGTAACATGTCTGCCAGGCATCGGATTTTGAAAAGGGACCGTGAACGGCTGCCCCGACCAAAGGGTCGCATCGGCAAACTATATGTTGCAGGCGTGGGACCTGCTGCTACTTTCGGTTCCGCTATAGTTGGCATGGGTGACCAGGAAACGAAGCAGGCTCAGAGGGTGTTACTGTCTTATAAGCCACCCTACCATAAGGGGGCCTCTCTCCATGCCAAGTTAGCGTTCTGCGGGGGCCCTGTTTGGAGGGCTGGAGCGGCGCCAGCCATGCACTTGTCTCATGTTGCGTGGGTTGCTCCCACGAGCCCTAGCACTTCAATGTATAGTGTGAAGGAGTTGTGCCAGATGTGGAGCGCCGCCCCCCAAGGCCCTGAGCTGTCTTGGCAGAGCTCTCGCGGGCCCGTCCAGAGAATGCGCCGGGCTTGAATCGTATCGGATGGCGCTCTACTTCGGCTTTAACGTGGCTCGACGATTTCGATAGAATTTTTCACTTCGGCTTTAACTCTCCTTCCCTCGTCGGCCAGCTCCTGGAACGTGGAACGCAGAGGCAGCATGAAACGGTTCTTGCTGAGCTCCACCCTGGCTTTGAAGGTTCTCGGGTGTGCACGGGCCCCCTGGATCAACTTCCGGGCCTTGGGTCCAAGAAACTCACCTCGCGGATATATGTGTATATATATAGATATGACCATCACCTGTTGTGGAGGCGCGTGGACACGCGCCAGGGCCAAGGCTGCACGCTACAACGGCGACGGCAAGTGCCCGCTGTGCGGCGAACCCGACACTGTGAAACATCGTCCTTGGGGATGCCAGCATGCTGACGCTGTGCAGGCGCGTGGGCAAGCTGCGGCCGATCACCCCGAGTGGTCGAGGAGGCTTTCGACAGTGATGACCGCGCGTTCTGGGGCGAGCTTAAGTGGGGTCATCCTGGGGCCAACCTCCCTCCTCCAAGTAATCACCCCAATCCTGTTTTGTACGACCCCCTCTGTAATGTTATCCCCAAGGACTTCCTGGGTTTGAAAGGTCTCGACATTTGCATGGATGGGTCTTGCTCGCGACACGTCGTAAGAGACTTGTCTCGAGCTGCGTATGCCTGGGTTTTCCTTGACAACCCAGGCAATGTTGTGGCCAATGCTAAAGGAACGGTGCGGGACGTGCTGCAGCAGACGCCGCAGGCTGCCGAGCATCAGGCTATGGTGGTAGTCCTCATTTTTTGTTGATTTCAGCGGAGATCGATATTCTGACCGTGCTACCGTCACCAAGGTCTGTAACACCGACCCGTGTCACCAGCAGTCCAGAAAGCACAGGTACGGGGGTATGAGAAGAGGTGCCTTTATCTATGAGAAGAAGGACCACTCGTTTCAAGTTGTACACACCCCCGCCTATAGGTCCCAACAGGTCCTCGACAGCCTCCCTGGGCCCCAGAGGAGAATCGGTGTAGGTAATCAGCTGGCCGGTTCATTAGCTAAGCAAGCCCTCCTCCTCCACCCTCAACCGGCCGATGAACAGTGGAAGGACGTTGGTGATAGGTTGGATAAATTAGTGTTCGCGGCCCGAGTCGCGGCCAAAGTTTTGTATGTTTTCCCTTCGGAGCGCCTCGAAAGGGATTCTCTGGGGCCTAGATGTAAGTTTGTATACAGTCTGGAGGGTGGCACCATTGGGAGCATTTGGACGACATCTGTGCCAGGTGCCTGCGGTGCCTCGTTTTTTCGCGGGGCCCGGAGTCTCGCCCAATGCTGGGTTGCAAAGGTCCTAGGAAGATGTGGCAAGGTGTGCTCGATTTTCGTAAGGGCCACACGTTGGCCCAGACTGTCGTCGCTATGCGTCGCGACAAGAGGTTGAGTTTGTTTTTTCTGCACGACGTGCGGAACCTACTCAGCACAGCGGTGCTTCAAGCTCGGTCAAAAATGTCATGGACGCAAGCTCGCGGGTGCCAAAGCTACCCTGCCGAGAATTGCGTCTGGTTTGCACCTTCATTACAGGAACGAAGATGATCGTGTTTCGGGCTTTTTACGGCGAGGAGTCAGCTATCTGTGCTATGTTGCCACCACCCCTCCTCCGCCCGAGGCTGCGACATCGGCAGCTGGCCTCGAGGGCTTGGTGTCGACTCCTGGAATGCGTGCGTTGTTCGCACGTGTCCAGGCCAGAGACGCAGCAGCAAAGGCTGCCAGCAGCACAGACTAACGTTGTGTAGCCGCGGTCACGCCTCAGGGCTAGCAGAGGAAAATCCTCCTCCTCCTCCTCCTATTCCTCCTCCTCCTCCTCCTCCTCCTCCTCCTCCTCCTCCTCCTCCTCCTCCTCCTCCTCCTCCTCCTCCTCCCCCGTGCCGCAGATCCCACCACCGTGGCCGTCTTGGCCCAAACCATCCGGTCTCGAGGGCCTTTCCGCTCTGGCGCGCGCAACAGCAGCAGCAGCAGCAGCAGCAGCAGCAGCAGCAGCAGCAGCAGCAGCAGCAGCAGCAGCAGCAGCGGCAGCGGCGCGACCCTTGCCCGCGCCAGCCTCCCGCTTTGCCGCTCCAGGCCCCCTTGCCGCGTCAGCCCTGTTGCTTTCGGCCGCCATGGAGCCGGGTGTCCCCAGGAGCGGCAGGGGGTTCCTGCACGTTGTGGTGTACGGTGCCAGGGCGCTGCGCGCCGCGGACTTCCACATGCTGAGGAAGTCCTCCAGCGACCCCTATTGCGTGGTGAAGGTCGGCGAGAGCAGCATGCGGACCCGGACGATCCGAGAGGACTTGAACCCCAGGTGGGAACAGGCCTTCAGCTTCCAGATCGGCAATTACCTGTCATGGCCCGTCCTGATCTTGCTGGGAGAGTTCGGGGCGGCTGCCCAGTGCCACCAGAGAATGCCCAGGCTCCTTTCAGTCAGTGTCATGGACGAAGACCAGTGGACCAAGGACGACCCGCTGGGCTGTTGTGACGTGTCTCTCGCAGAAGTGTTTGGGAATCCTGGGAAGTGGATCGCGAGCGATGTGGCACTGCAGCAGTCAGCCAAGCGGAAGGACAATTGTGGGAATGTCTCGATTTCTCTCTTCTGGCAGCCAGTCTTCCTGGCCCGATATACTCGGAGCATCATTGCCACCAGTGGTTTCGCGGTTGCCTTCGCGCTCTTAGGCATCGGAAGCTTCTGCCGATGGCAGCCCGGCGGACATGGCCAGCCACTGCACGAGCCAGGCGTGCAAGCCGCGTGCGTTCTCGCTGCTCTGCTGAGCCTGCTCGCCACCATCGTGCAGTTCATGGTCGCTCACATGACATCTGGGGTGGAGCTGGACAAGCTCGCTGGTACCAATGGCGCGGCGCTTGGGCTGTCCACTGCGTTGGGAGGGACCCAGGCGAGCTCGAATGTGACTGAGCCCGGCAATGCTGCGCTGCTTGTGAAGCTCAAGCCGGCGAAGCTCACCTCGTACGATGTGTCCGTGTTTCCGAACACGGATTTCCTCCAGCAGCTCCACCTGCCCGTGATCATCGTGGCGCGGCTGGTGCCGATCGGGGTCATGGCCCTGGTCGCGCTGGCCCTGGCGCTGCAGGCCTTTGGATCGTCGCTGTTCCTGCAGCCCGGGGAGCTGTGCGCCTTCGCCTCCCTCCAGGGGACCACATGCGACCCCTACCCGTTTCCCCCCACGATTTCTAAGGGAGAGGGAGAGGGGGAGGGCGAAGTGAACCCCGCCCTCCCCCTCAGAAGTCGTGGGGCGTAGGGGTAGGTTCGCATGTGGCCCCCTATCCCTCGGCAGCTGTGCCTGCGGCGTCCTTGCGTCGCTGTCCTCCCACGAGGCGCCCTACGCTGCGGAGCTCAAGAGGCAGCTATCCGAGCACGAGTACCGCGGAGAACGGTAGTATTTAGGTCGGGCGTGTCCCCCTACAGGACGAATACTCAAAAATTGTATGGGGCGATGTTTGGACTATTTTCGACTATGTTTGAGTACTTTTTGGATGCTTGTTGTTTTTCGCCCAAAATCCGCCTGTGGGGCAACATGCCCGACCTAACATCAGTACCGCGGACGACGGTGGCGGGTCAAGTTAGGGATCCCGCGTGACATGTCATTTTCTACACGCCGAGGCTTGCCCAGCGCCGGCCGCACCTTGTCTGGTGTGCGCTTCCAGGTAGACTCTCTGGGCGTACTCTACCGGCCCGCTGGCCCACCAGGAGTCTGGCCACCCACCAGCAGCATGAACCAGACAACAAAAAACACCGCCGAGGTGGCCCACGACGACCCGACCAGGCAAGACGAGATAACGCCAGCTTCATGATCATCTGTTTGAAGGAAGCCCCTGAATCCCTACACATGAAACAATCGCTAAAATGAGAGAGGGACCCCGTCTTGGTTCCAGGTTCCCCCCAGTTAAATTTCCGACATACTTAGGGGGCAGGACAATTTATTATTTTCCCCGTCTCGCCCTTTCGCTCCCGAAGAGCTCCTGAGGCCTCCAGGTTGTTTCAAAGGGTCCAAAAGCAACCCCCAGATGGACTCTGGAGGGGCCCAGCACTGCCCCGGAAGCCCCACAGGGAGCCCCATGAGAGGTCCAATAGGGCCCGGAGGAGGAGGAGGAGGAGGAGGAGGAGGAGGAGGAGGAGGAGGAGAGGGCACCTAGCCGCTCCAAATCTCGAAAAGGGCAAGGGCTTCCAGCGTTCTGGACGCCAAAACGGCCCGACGAGGCCCAGGCGGGCTTCCGAGAGGCTGCAAAGAGGCTCCCATGAGGCCCCCAATAGGCCTCCAAGCTGCCCCCAAGAGGCCCCCACGAGTCTTCGCCTGGCGATGGGAGAAGTCTTCCGGCGTGGGGTAGGAGGAGGGCAAGGCCCTCCCCGAATGGGAAGAAGTGGATTGGAAGAGGAACCGATGTAAATGACCTGCGCCCGTACGGCTGGTGGCATTCTCCAAAGGCGGCGCGAGGTCTCCATTGCTAGCTCCGCTTGCCTTTCCAAGTTTCGGGTCTGGACTGAGTTTTCCCAGTGATGTGCCAGCACTGCAGTTGTTCAGCTCGTGTCGTGTAGGTTAAGCTGTCCAAGTGTCGTGCCAGTTCTGTGGTTCAGCTCGTGTCAGCGGGCAGCTCGTTCTCCGCGTGTCTTTGCCTTCCTCTGTTCTTTCCCCTCCCGTCTTAGCGTGTGCCCACGCGTGTAACTTACTGTTGCCTGCACTAGATAGACCCAGAGTGCGAAATCGATTTACACTAGGGCCAAATCTCCTTTACCTTTGAGTCTTATCGGTTTCTAGATCTGGCGCGGTGTCTGCGTCGGCTCTCGGATGGAATCCTGGGGAAGCTGGACATTGTGGGACGGACCACAGTAGAGGCCAGTCCACAAGAAACATTCCACACGAAGCCCAACCCTGAGACCCCAGGACGTCCACTGATCTTTGGCGTTGGAGCGTCTCGCTCTCCATCGCAGACCCATCGAAACCCAAGAAACCCAGGGCACCCTGGAGGCGAGCAGGGTGTTTCTTGGCATGGGCCCCCACTGCAGCCCACCAGATGAGGGATGTGCCCCTACCCGTCTCGTAGACCCTGGAAAACTGGTCTGCCCGGGCTCTCCCCACGGCCTTGCTCTGTCCGGGTCCCCGTGGCCCTGCCCGCCTGCTTCGGGTGCGCAGCAGCCGCGCGCACGCGCGTGAGCCCGAGATGCCTTCTCGAACACTTGCAGCGGGAGCTGCACGGATAGCGCCGGGGGACTGCGCACCCGCACATTGGGGGGGAAACAACAATCGCATTTCCGAATCAGAGCTTACCTCTGTAGGGGTCCTAGCGGATTCATTCCCCAATCCGAGCTTGCCTCTGTAGGGGTCCTAGCGGATTCATATGGTTAGGTGAGGTATGGCGCCGATTTCGGCGGCACGCCCGGGTGCTCGGGTGCCTTATAGCCCTATAGTCCTATGGCCCAATAGCCCTATAGCCCTACAGCCCTAAAGCCCTATAGCCCTACAGCGCTATAGCCAAATTGCCCTATAGCCCTATAGCCCTACAGCCCTATAGCCCTATAGCTTTATAGCCCTATAGCCTTATAGCCCTATAGCCCTATAGCTCTATATGCCTATAGCCCTATAACAGTATAGCCCTGTAGCCCTATAGCCCTATAGCCCTATAGCCCTATAGCCCTATGGTCATATAGTCCTATAGTCCCATAGCCCTATACACCTATATCCCCATGGCCCTTCAGCCCTGGAACCCCAGAGCCCCAGAGCTCCATAGCCCTTCAGCCCTATAGCCCTATGGCCCTATAGCCCTATAGCTCCATAGCCCTATAGACCTATAACCCTATGGCCCTATAGCCCTATAGCCCCATAGCCCTATAACCCTAACAAGATTATGATTCGGTCTTCTCTCCGGTATCATGTCTTAGCGACAGAATTCCTATTTCCCACATCAGAGCTTCGCTCTGTTGGGGTCCTGGCGGATTCATATGGTTAGGTGCGCTGCGTCGCCGATTTCGGCGGCACGCCCAGGTGCCCGGGTGCCCGGGTGCCCAGGTGTCTGGGTGCCCCGGTGCCCAGGTGTCCAGGCGCCTTATAGCCCTGTAGCCCTATTGCCTTATAGTCCTATGCCCTATAGCCATATAGCCCTACAGCCCTATAGCCCTAAAGCCCTATAGCCGTATAGCCCGTTAGCCCAATAGCCCAAAAGCACTATAGCCCTATAGCTGTATAGCCCTATAGCCTTCTAGCCTTATAACCATATAGCCCTATAGTCCTACAGCTCTATATGTTTATAGGCTTATAGCTCTATATGCCTATAGCCCCATAGCCCTATAGATCTATAGCCCTATGGCCCTTCAGCCCTCTAGCCCCATAGCCCTATAGACCTATAGCCCTACAGCCCGATAACCCACAGCCCCATAGCCCGAGAGCCTTATAGCTCTACAGCCCTATAGCCCCATAGCCCTATATCCCTATAGCTCTATTTTTATGGGCCTATAGCTCTATAGCCTTATAGCCCCATAACACTATAGCCTTGTAGCCCGATATTCCTAAAACGATCATGATTGGGTTTTTCCCTGGTTTCATTCTTAGCTTAGTGCGTTTTGTTAATAGTGACGTTGCCTGCGGTAGCATCCCGCCTTCTGATTAGGATTCTGATTCTGAGTTGTCCAAGTGCCCGCTTCATGCATTCTTGGTGGTGGTGGTGTTCAGAACGTTGGCAAACAGAACGCAAGTACTTCACAATGTCGTCGTGGTCTTCGTCATCGTCGTGGTCTTCGTCATCGTCGTCGTCGTCGTCGTCGTCGTCGCGGTCGCCGCCGACGATGGGGCAAATCTCTTGCTCCCCTCTGTCCCTCTTCGCCCCCTCCGCTGGTCGCCTGCCTCGGTCGGCTTTCCCCTCGTCGCCTGCGGGGGTCGCCAGCCTTCTGCTCTGGGCACCGGGGAGCCCCTAGAGCTCTCGACCCCGTCTTTTGCACGGATTCCGTCCTTCCTGCGGTGCCGCAATCCGTGGGCCCCCGGGGGGTCCTGAAGACACGGAGGCCACGCCTCGGAGACGCCTCTTGACCTACCCGTTTCAGGTCCACGGGGGAAGTGTTGATAAGGAACAGGCATGGAGCAAGCAAAGGAGGAAAGGGAGAGTGATGCCACCGAGGAGGAGGAGGAGGAGGAGGAGGAGGAGGATGAGGAGGAGGAGGAGGAGGAGGAGGAGGAGGAGCGTGGAGGGGCAGGGTAAACCAAGGATGCATCAATGCACGTTTCAACACACCCTCCCGTCACGAGTCTCCCCTTCATGAAGTCGTGACAGTCTTCCCGTGCCACTGCAGGAGCAGCCCCCTCTGAAAGACGCGCACCCCTATGGGCCTGCCGTTCAGGCGAGAGCCGCGCTCTGTCACACGGAGCTTCCTCGCATTTTTTCCTCGCGAGCCACACTGAATGCGACAAAGGTGGCACCATGCAGTGCAACGACGTATCCAGCGAGGCCCCCTGATTTCAAAAGAAAAGCGCCCTACCCATCCGTGTAGCAGCTGTACACTGCTGCACTTCTGGTCCCTGCCTTCGAGGAAGTCTCGAGCGAGGGCTCAGTTCTGAGAAGGAACGGTCCTCCGTTCGTGCAGTCCCTACACGGTCTGAAGTTGCTAATCCTCAAGTTCTCGACTCTCTAATGTAGAGGAAAGCGAAAGCGAGCGCCCCAGTTTGGCAAGAAGCCTTCCTCTAGTATTGTAGTTTGCCGTAATACTTTAGAGAAGGATGTGCGCGGCGCTATGGCGAGAACCCCATTTTGAAAAGGAGCCACCAATAATCCTTGTAACGACTGCGAACTTGTAAAACTGATGCGTGCGGCGCCAAGGCGAGAGCTCCTTTTTAGAACAACCACCAGCGAAACCTTTCAGACGAATGTGCGCGGCGCATACGTGAGAGCCAGATTCTGAAAACGAGCGACAGGTCCCCAGTAATGCAATTGTTCGATTTCAGCTGCAGTGCAGCAAGCTGTCAGGAAGTCTCCAGCGAAACGCCTGGCCCGGCCCAAGGACATGTCGAGTGGTGCTGCATGCGGGTGAGAGGAGGGCGGCCGTTGAGAAGGAAGAAACATGTGGCAAGTGAAGGGGGAAAAGGCTGAGGAGGAGGAGGAGGAATGAGGAATGAGGAAAAACGAAAGAGGAGAGGAGGAGGAGAGGAGAGCAAGAGAGAGAGAGAGAGAAAGAGAAAGAGAAAGAGAGAGAGAGACAGATGAGCCGCCACACGCTGCTCATAAGAGGGGTCTGCCCCTGTGGCCAAACACAGCCCAGCACTTTGCGGTGTATCATCCAACATCCGGCGGCGAGGGACAAGTCTGGCAAGTGGGCAGTTTATTTGAAGAACACCGTACACTTACGATTCGGTGGCTTACCCGGACGAACATGGCTCACAGTTTCCGAGCAAAAGAGAGAGAGAGAGAGAGAGAGAGAGAGAGAGAGAGAGAACAGGAAAAAACAGAAAAAAGAAAGAGAGACATGTCGAGCCTTTCCACCCAAGATGGCTTCGAGAGCTCCCCTAATGCCCCCGAGGCGCCCACAAGAGGCCCCCAAAGCCACACATATGCCCCCAAGGCCGCTCCAAGAGGCCCCTTCAAAGGCACCTCGCGCATCGCATCTTGCAAGCTAGAGAGAGAGAGAGAGAGAGAGAGAGAGAGAGGGATAGAGAGAGAAAGAGAGAGAGAAAAAAAAAGAGAGAAAGAAGGATAGAACAAAAAAGAGAAAGACACAGAGAGAGAGAGGGGAGGAGGGAGAGGGAGAAGGAAGAGAGAGAGAGGCGAGAGCCCCCCCCCCCCACCCCCGCGCAGGCCCGCTTCGCCAGGCCCTCAGCACGCCGCCCCGCCGGCCGCCGATCGGCGGCCGCCGCTCGGTGCGGTCCGCGGGGCGAGGTGCGCGAGGGGGGGGGCACGGCCTCCGCGGGGCGGCGCCCCGACGCGCGCCTGGCGCTGGTCATCACCGCGGCCACTGAGGGGGGCGAGGGGGCGACTCCCCGGCGGGGCGGTGGAGCCCCCGGACATCCGGGCTGATCCCCAGAAGCCGTCCGGGGAGTCAACTCTGCAGGGCGGTGCGCGCTCCGCCTCTCGCGATCTGCGCTGGTGGCAGGTGGAGGATCTCAAGCCGAGCCTCGCGCAGGCCTGTCGGGGGCAACTTCATCCAGGGATTCCATCGTTCGGAAACCTGTATCACCATCATGGTGATCATAATATAACGAAGCGGCGGGGAAGGTCGATCACCATTACCCCCATTCCTGCTCAACCACCGTAATCCTACTAGCATCACAAGCATTGTTCGCAACAGTAGTAGTCGTAGCCGTAGTAATGAACGGTAGCCTTGGCAGTACGAAACGTTTATACCACCAATCGTAGAAGCAACGCTAATATTTGCAACAATAATGGTCGTCATCGTTGTCGTAGCCGTCGCAGGAGTGGTCGTACTAGTAGCATCCGTAGCAGTCGCAGTATTACTAGTGGTACTAGTAGTCGTTACAATGATAATGCGAATGCGAGTAGTAGTAGTAGTAGTAGTAGTAGTAGTAGTAGTAGTAGTAGTAGTGGTAGTAGTAGTAGTAGTAGTAGTAGTAGTCGTCGTCGT